AAATTTTTTATTTTAATAGTAAAATTACATATATATTTTTATTATTTTATTATTTATTAAAAAAGTATTATTTTATTTATTTTTAAAAATAAAATAATAATTATTTTTTATTTTTTTCAAGTTCAATCTCTAAATTGATAGTTCGTTGAACTTGAGTTCGAATTCGAGTTTAATAAAACTAAATTAAAACTCGACTCGATTAGATCAATTCGATTCGACTCGTTTGTAGTCTTACGAACAACAAATGATGCTTAATTCTATCTATTACTAATTCAAGAAAGATTAGCAAAGAAGCCCAATTACTACGACTAGCAAACAGTTGATTTGTAGTAGGGTAGGGAGTACGGTCGAAGTTAGAAAAAAGGGTTGCATGAGTGAGGCCGGGGTTTGTCTAGCGGCCACCGACAGTGACCAAATCTTGCAACCGAGTTTCCCTCCCACTGCATGAATGGTCAGGACGACTCATCATCAGAATGAGTAACCAGACAAAGCCACGAAGGGGTCATTTGGCCCAACACTGTTGGGATGCGGGAAAGAGAGAGATATACTCAGAGAAGAGAAAGAGAGATGGAGGGCCTGAGGCAGGGAAGCAGGCATGTGGATGGGATCAGTGGGGAACACTCCAAACTCTATCAAGTATCAACACCTCCTCCTTTGCCTTGCCTTGCCTTGCCTTGAATAATTGAGGGCAAGTGACAGATAAAAGCGAAAGTGCAAATATGCAAAAAGTTTTAGTAAGGTCACGTCCTCTTCCCTGACCCAATCACCCCTCCTGACTCTGACTCTATTTATCTCCGTCCCCTCTCTTCTCTTTCACACGCATAAATAGCAACAATACCCATTATCACTGTGTCTCAACAGTATGTTTTCTAAAAAAACTTATATATAAAATATGTTATACGCAATGTAATATAATATAATGTGATGTACGTAAAATAAATAAATTTAGATACACTGATTCTGATCATCTAAGCGAAGCATACTTAAAACTAAAGTTTGAAGTTTTGAATATTGGTAATGAAACACAACATGAACTTTCAAAATAAGTAATCCGTTCTTATTAATTGAGCCAATTAATTTGGGTTACCACCACTACTTTTGTTACTCCGTTCAAAGTCTTTCTTCAAACCATCTTTTCTAAGTTGTACCGTACCACTAGCGTTCAAATCAAATTCTATGACCAAATACAGTCACCCCTCACCAAACAACATAGGCATTACTGTTGTTTCTCTTTAGTGCTCTTGCTACGCCCCACAGGCTTATTAGCTGTACTGAGTTTCCAAAACAGAGTACTGTGTTTTCTCCTCTCACTCTGTTCTTGGCTTCTTCTTCTTCAACAAGAAGATGCCTAGACCAGGCCCGAGGCCTTATGAATGTGTTAGGAGAGCTTGGCACAGCGACAGGCACCAACCCATCAGAGGTTCTTTAATCCAAGAAATTTTTAGGTACTTTTTCTGTTTTTTGCCTTCCTATGGAACCACGCTTGAATAACTACATGCATTCATAAGGAAATTGCAGATATACGCAAGCATCAAACTCTGGAAATGTTAATGGTTGGTTGTCCTGTTTGTCTCTTTGTTCTTGAAGGATTGTGAACGAAATTCATAGCTCAGCTACTAAAAAGAACAAGGAATGGCAAGAAAAGCTTCCTATTGTTGTGTTGAAAGCTGAAGAAATCATGTATTCCAAAGCCAATTCCGAGGTTAGGCCAAACCTTTGCTGCTATCGAGGTGGCACTGTGTCGTGTCGCTCATTATTTTTAGTGTTGGCTTCGTTTTTTCTTTTCTTCTTTCTCCTTTTTCCCGGTGAAAGTTCCTCAGGACTTTTCTTTATATGCTTAGGCTGAATATGTGGATATCAACACACTTCGAGACAGAGCAAATGATGCCATAAATACTATAATTAGAAGGGATGAGAGTACGGAAACTGGAGAGCTTCTGCAGCCTTGTATTGAAGGTATTTTTTTTTTTCTAAATAACATTTTATTCCTTCCAAGCACTTATTACCGGTGTGGAAATGGCTTCTTTGCAATTTCAGAATTAGCTGCTTCTTGGGTGTATATTTCTCCTTTTATCAGTAATACTCGTGATGCTGGCTGTGTGTTGACTTGTGGCAATAATTTGAGTTGGGATAGGATAGTTTCTCAGTCACAACAGTGCAACTGTGCATAGATAGTGATCTTTCTTTGGCTCTCTTGTTTCCTTTTATGTGTAGCTGCTCTGCATTTGGGCTGCACTCCTAGAAGATCTTCAAGGAGTCAAAGGAATATTACTCCGAGATGTTACCTTAATCCAGAAAAACCTGAGGCTATATCTGTTTCTCTAACCAATTTGGACAACAAAGTTCAAGGAAATTATGCAACTAATTGCTCCTTCATTCCCCAAAGTCCAAATCTTTTGATGAATTCCGCCGATACCTGCTTAAATTATGATAATTCTGGCATCCAAAAGACAGATTCTGAGTATCCCAAAGTGCGAAATTCTCCGAGCATTAACCATCAATCTCGACCCAGACTAGCACCTTCTTTATCAAGCTCATGTTCAGTTTACCCCTTATATCATGGTAATCACTTTCAATTTCAAGACTCTAGCAAGTCAAATTCTCACCTCATGAAGACTGATAAGAAAGGTGTGATGAAAAGGCGTTCAACTTGTGGACAGGATGCTTTAAATGTTATATTACAAGCAAGTCCCCATTATGTTTCTGAGACCCCACATGGAAGTGGATGTGATTTATCATTGCGTTTGGGTCCTTTAGGAGTTTCATGCTTAGGTGAAGAAAATAGTTGCCCCAAGAAGTGGAAGATGGTGGTGGTTTGGGTACATGTAAAGTGGGAAGCAAGTATAATGATTTGTCTTCACAAAGTGACAAAGACTTCTCTTTCTTCCCTAAACCCAATGGTCATGATATGCTGGACTCTTCTTCAAATAAATGGAGTCATAAGACCCAGAATGTGAATATTGAGGCAACTTTGAGAAAGCGAAAGGCGGCTGTTAGTCATCCTTCGGAGGATAGGCAGTATTGTTGGCCGCTGAAGTTCCCATTTAAGCAGGTCAATGGAAGGTTTAACAGTTCAGATCAGCAACAGACTTAAGCTTTTATGGCTCTAAGTTTTGCAATTTAACAGGCTATTCTTCCTGCTATCCAACCGATTTCTTGTATGTTGTAAATCTGGAAATGCGGTTTTGTGTAAAGAGGTGGCAAGCAAGTCTGATAGTATGCGGCAATTTGTACTGAAACATATGACAGTTTCTTGGAGAAATGTGATCATGAAGATTGTACTAAAGCCTAACTCTGTAAGAGAAGCCTGAAAATGAGAATCAGGTGGACTTAACTTCCATTCTCAGCAGTGGAAGGGATCTGCTGATATGTTAACTAAAACCAGTGAGGTATCGGAAAGGAATGTGTTTTTTGTACGAGTATTCCATGTGGCATGACATACTTTGCTAACTAGTTAGTAATCAGTCACTGGTACAAGTGCAAAATAATATGTTTCAATAGTCTCTGGATGTATGGTAGAGAACTGAAAAGCTGAGTTCCTTGTAGAAGTTCAAATATGAAGGTGATGTGGACTGACCTCTGGCTCCAACATGTAGCATATGGACTTATTCTCAGCTGAATTCGTCATTTTGCTTCTAGGGTGAATTGCTTCCCCTCTGATACTTTATTTGTAATATAGGAACTTAAAGGGTCAGTCATGTAATCAATCGGGGGTAGGTAATAAATATTTAACTTGTTCATAGGGCCTCTTGAAGTCGTGGAGAAATAGTTCATGGTAAATCTGAAGAAGTGTGCTCAATCAAGAAGTTCTCTGATAATGCATTCTGAAGTTTTTATTCATCCATATGTTCTGTGCACATATCGGATTTGGCTATATCAGTTATTTTTCTTTCATTCCTCATCTTGTTTTCTGCATTATAGCTTTTTGCAGTCCTTAATGCTGGAAAGATTTTTGTGCTTTACTTTGTTTCCTTTAATTTTTTTTTTGGGGTGTTTGGGGATTATGGTCAGTGTGTAAGAGGGTTTTTATTTACTTTTGAAGAAGACAGACCCCTTCGAGGCTTGGAAGCTTGATTATGTAGAGCAAATGGACCTGTCTTTATTGTGGACCACGTTTTGTCTGGGATTTTAAGTTGATGAAATTCATTATGGTGGATAGGGATTATTCTTTGCAACATTACCAGCAAGAAGATAGTCTTCACGAAACCTAATTACAATCTTGATTCCTCGTACTTGGGGTAATTGGAACCTTTTTCTACCTGTCTTAATCACAAAGGGGTGAAGAATCATTAGATGAAAATACCAAATATGTCTTCTTCACTTCATCTTAGTGGGGGGTTATGCTTGTTAAGGCCTTTGGAGGCCTTCTGTACAGAATTACACACACTTAGAAGTGTCTCTTTTACTTGTCCATTGTCTTTGGAGGACTGCATGGCTTTGGCTCTTTCATCATCAACTTCCAAAAGTATTCAGACTACACTGACTGTAATAAATTCGTCAAACTGAGCATTTTGACAGGGTTGAATCAAAATCCCAAAGATTTGTAGAAAATGGTGTCAGTGCTGTGTGCTGCATTAACTAGAGGTGTTGATGAACTACTACAAATGCCCAAAAACTTTTTTTTTTAAGTGGTCCCTCTAGGATTGAGGGCATGTTCCCATAAGAGTAGATCCACCATCACTTGTTTTCACTTAATTTGGACTTGTCTTGTCTGTTCTACTTTAGTATGGCTGGATGGGATTGTGTTCACAAGAAATTCTGAGTGTATTGGTCCTACCTGTCCAACCATCATCATTCTCTATCTAAAACACAATGCCATGCTCCATGATAATGACATAAGAGAAGGCCCTTCTTCTGATCAGGAACACCATTGAACATGAGGGATTGAAAAAGCACACATCTAATATGTCCTACGCAGTGTGCACCCGCCACTGAGGGCCAAAAGAAGTAAATTGTCCGCGAGGGAACAGGAAAAACAGAGGAAAAAGATTGGACTCAGCTTTAGAATCCCTGAAGAAGTCAATGAAACATTTTATAGGCTGTGCGGCCAAGTTAGACACGGAGTGGGATTTACAAAGTCAAATCTTATTATATACAGTAGTTATATACATACATCAGTTAAACTAGAAGATGCAGAGGTAGGCGAAGAAGAAGAGAATGGTGATGATGTGAAAGACGAGGGCAATACATAGCTAAAGTTCAACTCTATTTGCAGGCGATGATGCAGGGAGTAATATGAAACTGCTCCCTTCTTTTCTTCTTCTTCGAGTTCCTCGAGTGGTATTGCGGCAAGAAATCTTTTGATGAACTCTTTACAGCATTCTTTTCCACTGCATATGATCTCTCCAATGTCATTAGGATTTGTACTCTTACTATCTGAGCTTTCAGCCTTGTTGACATCTTCTTTCGCACTTTTTCCATGCATCAGAGAGGAATCATCAAATTTTAGAATGTATGCTTGGTTGCACCCCTCACAGAGTCTTTCACCCAATGTGTCAATGATGTAGTACGCATTTGCCTCCACCTTCAACACAAAAAAATGATCATTCCAACTTACGATGTAGACCCTTGGGTCATGGTCTTCAGCTACTCTGCTGATACCCTCCCATATCTCATCGAAAGACATGGCTTCTTTCAGTGCCTCGAACTTTTCCGGGCTAAAGAATCCAACAAACGAATCATCGCGAGAGATAGCTATTGGTCGAACATCAGCATGCAATACTGTCTCAAGATCAAAGTGCTTGTTGGGAAAATCATATGTGTAGGCATCGTTTTCACATAACTTTCGCCATTCAGATGAGCCTTCCATGATGAGATCGTCGAATTCTGGCCTCGTAGGCACGGCATCTCGGTTCAGTTGGAGCCAATAGGCAATAACAGCAACAAGTGCTGTGCAAGCACTCTCTCCTGCGGCCTTGTTGCTGCATTGGTCGAAAGAAGCAAAGAAAACGTTGGTCTTGAGCTCTGTTTGTCCATCCCTACTAATCACCTCCTTTGATTCCCAGTCACCTTTATCTTCAACCTGAGGACATCCAGACAAGGGTTAAACATGCAATAGCAGGCCAAAACAAAAATTTTCACCTTGACATTATTGAATTTTACAAGAATTTATGTGGAGAACCCTTAATCAAGAATGAATAAGTAAAGACAGACGGAGTGAGTTGAGTTATGTAGTCTAGTCATTTGATCAGATTGACAGTGACCCTGGATTGATTTGGTTAATGGGGATGCCTCCATGAACCATCGTTATTATACCATCAAAGCAAATTTCCAGGTGCTACCTAAACAGCCCTTGAGCAACAGCTCTTGCTTGCAACACCTATAGGGGGATGCTAGCCATGGTCATTGAGACAAACACCCTTTCAACATCCTTAAAATATTCACATACTACACAAATCTAGAAGCCTTGCAAAATCCAGTCATCTGATATTTAGAAAACCAGGCCAAGAAAAAGAAGTCATCAACAGTGTGATGGTATGAAATGGTCACACATCAATATTTAGCAGCTTCTCTGGACTTGAATGAAGGTGAAAATGACACAAATCCAACCTCTATTATTTTTCCTTTTCCGCTTTTACCATTTCTATCCTCTACAATTACATCCTAAATATTTACACAATTGAGTGTGAAACAACACAGACTTGGATCATTTACCGAAATCAGTAGAGCATAGTCATTATGGAATCCACACCTCACATACATACGAAGTGGCATGATAATTATTGGTTTTGTCCGAAGCAATGATAAAACATGGAATCATGGGTATAAAGTAACAAGTCTTGGTTGATCAAAAACTCTTTTACTCCAGATGATTTCCAAAAAAAAAATTCATTTTCCACCATATCTCATAATCCAACAATAATCATAAGCAAAAAAAGTCACAAGAAAAAGACACGATGATTATAACTGGCACCTGCAATGAACCGGAGGTGACCAGGTCATCAAGTTTGGAGGAACCGCTGCACTGTGGGTCATTATCAATCTCATTTTTTAAGCGGGGGCTTCTTATCATCCGGTTCTCCTTTAACCGGAGTCGGTTTAAAGCTTAACCGCCTCCTTTTCCAAGAGAACAGCCCCATTTTCTTCGCCGGTTCCATTTGCGCGTCCGAGCACGGTCCCGAGTCATTGACCGAGTTGGCTTCCCCACCATCTTCCTTGTCAACTCCTCCGGATGACTCATCCGAGTTGCCCCGCCTCCGTTCCATACTCCACTTGAGTCAACCGAGTTAGGGACCGAGTCGTGCGAATCCCTTATCTCAGCAACATCCATCAGCACCTGTTTTTTAATCAAGTAAAACAGAATTCACAGCACAGTTAATTAATGGGTACGAAAAAGGCACCAAATGCGTAATCAATAGTATATAATAAAATATCAACCGGACAATAAGCATATTTTGTTGATTGTTGACATTCAAAGAGTACCGCAGTGTCAAGCTGTCATTTTTTTTTTAGTACTAATTCACAAGAAAGAACTAATGTTATGTCGTCAAACTTGCATTGAGAAAGAGCCAGCCTAATGACAAACTAACTTCAATAGGAACAAAAACAAGAAAACAGTTTTTCAGTTCCCCCCGGCGGCCCGGGGGGGGGGGGGAGATGATCTATACAGGCAAATATGTTACAAGGCTTGGATAAAAGATGCAGACTTGCAATGATATACTTACACACACATAGTAGGGAAAATGATGTCGTAGCAAAATTACCAGGAAATGGGCTTCTTTGGTAATCCCTCCAATCTGTAGATTGATGGGAAGTTTTGCTTCAACTTCTTGATGAAGATCATAATCATCAGGAGAAGGCTCCATCATCCTCCCAGCCATCTCCGCTATATTCAAGGAGGCCCTTCCAATCACCACCAATTTACCCTTGCTGCTCTCTGTCTTCTTCTTCTTCTCTTGTTTCATCAAACGCAAACAAAATAAAAAATTAAGCAACGGTTGCCATCAATTCCAACAAAAGAATGTGCTTAATTAAGAAGAAAAATAACTCTGACCGAGGAACGTAAACGTACATATAAAAGACTGAAGGACACATCCCAAGGAGCAAACTTTGGACGACCATCTTGACTGGTTGACACAATTGTAAAGCTGCAGAAATTCTCCAACTCCAACACCTCATCACCATTCCATTCAATGGCCTTAATATTTCCTTCCTCCAATTTCTTCACAACCTTTTCCCTGGAAAAATGTCTGCATTGTTTGGAGGATGGTAGATGAAAAGGGACCAATCCAAACTTGGGTTCGCCTTTCCATCTCATCTTGATGGCTATAACCTTTTCCTCAACGTCTCCTTGATCTAGAGCGCAAGCACTATGATCAATGTCGTCGTCGTCATCATCCGAACATCCTAGGAGGAGCTTCATGGACTTCACCTTCACCTTGTACCTTCTGGTGGCCAGAGTCGGCCACGGCGACCACTTCATCATCTTCACCACCATCCTTCCGATTCAATTGGAATTTGATTAAACAAATCCAATACAAGCTAGATAGTTAAAAGAAACAAAACAGGGAAGAAGAAAACTAGAAGAGATGAAAAAAAGGAAAGATTTTTCGTGGGAGATTCTTTGTTCTTAAAATAGCAAGGGATAAATAAATTTATGAACGCGCCTGTACCTAAAATTGGTTCTTCCTCTTTTTATCAACTCCAGGCCAAGGAATCCGCGTCTGCAGGGAATGCAGCCAGGCGAAAAAGGCGTAGCCTCATTTGCCAGTACGATTCAGCCACGTCATTCATTGGCACTTCCGGGTCATGACGTGGCGAGTGCCCGTTGGTTGGAGTCCCAAGCTAAGCTGTAGGTGATCGTATATTGTGGGCATGAGAGGGGAATACATTATTGAATAATCGTCACGTAACAAATGAAGGGGCGACACGTAAACACGGGGCGGGGAGGTCGGGGAGGAATTTCAACACGTGATCTACGCGTGAGAATAGGGAAATCTAGCCCAGAGGATTTGTTTGGCGTTTGCTTGAGAAATGAGTAGTATACAATTATAAACATGTGGATATTTTCAACAACATTTCTTCTAGAGTTCGTCCTCCCCCACTAAAACTATAAAAGAAATGAAAGAAAAAAACTTCTGGAGGAAAATGGTATACGGCATATTTGATTTGGGTTGATTTGGGTTGCTTGAGGAAGGATTGAGATAGATCCCGCGTGAATGGTCCAACGGTAGCACCTCTCACTGGTGATCACTTGGTCCCAAGATCGAATCTCTGCTCTGCTGATTTCTCCACGCACTTATCGTGCTTGGGTCGGTTGGGCCGCCTGGCTTGGATCGCAGGGAATTAGTCGAATCCCGTAAGAATTGATCCGAACACCCCTGTGTCGACGAAAAAAAAAAAAAAAAAGGAGGAAGGATTGAGATGGTCCGAGAAAGTCCAAAGTAAGTGCATGAATTGCATTTGTACGTGCGGTGGTATACCTTGCAATCACCTCTCCTGCCTTTTTCGTTTGTCCTTTTCTTTATCTTAATGTTACTAGTTCGCTTATTCTATTTTTCATTTATAACACTACTGGCTTTCTTTTTGGGGCAATAGGTTTGGATAAGAGATTGTTTGGAATAATTTTTTTTCGCTAAAAAGATACTGTAGTACTTTTATGATGTGTATGAGATTAAAAGGCGATTAAAAATGATGTTTATAATACAAGCAGATAAGTTTGTGTAGATAAATTACTGTCCAAACACAATGATGTCTAGAGTTCTCCAAAATTCGATGATTTCAAAATGACCTTGACTTAAGCACCTTTTGGATTGGAGGAAAAGTAGGGAAAGGAGATAGAAAGGATGCCAGTGAAAAAGAAAGAAAATTAGAGTAGAAGAGAGTAGTTTACATTCATTTTATTTTGATAAATATGAAAGTAAAAGTAAGGATGTGCTGAAATTTTGCTTGGATTGAAGAAGGAAAAAAAAAAGGGGGAGAGCAAAAATAAGAGTTCGTTAATGAGCAAGTACAAGTAATAAATGGTCTTTTGAAAAAAATTAAATTGGGGTCGGTCCAATAGCCAATACAAAGGCTCTTAGAATCTTTTTTATTGTTAGGTTCGATATTCGAATCTCAGCAGCTAGGGATAGGAAGGGTGCGGAGAGAAGTGGGAGGATAAAAAGGGAGGAATTTTTTTCTAGCTACATAGTGATACTACAATAGCATATAAAACGGATAATTAAACCCTAATTAACTTTTTTAACTTCCTCAGTTCTAACATCTCCCCCAATCGATGGCATGAATACAATTTGAGTGCATGTGGTGAGAGCATGCCCTATTACTGTTATCTTCAATGCAATTACCTTTAACAATGTTTTGAAACCCAGAACGATAAGTGAACCATATTAACTTCCGATTTATGATCCAATCGGTTCAACCAATTTGATTTATGTTGAACCTAACGGTAAAAAGAACTTTAATAGCTCTCTCTTGTCCATTGGACCGATCGCAGTGATTCAATATTTTATTATTTTAATATTAAATTACTTGGATAAAATTAATGGATTTAGAGGGAAACTAGTTCAAAGGCTGATTTCATTTAGGTTTGACCAGTTCTTTTGACTTTCTAGTCTAGACGCCAATAGGATCGATGCCATGATCAATTCGCGGTTGAACCGGTTAATCCAGTCCGGTTCTCAAAAGAGTTTCCTAATTACTGAATTTTACATGACATTTGCAAGTGTTCACGTACTAATCTGCTAGCTTTAACTTGCCGCTAGCCAATGAACATGACATTGAGGAGCATTTCCTTCGGCACCAAGATTTCTCCCCCCATATTATCCTGACATACCTTGAGATTTTCGTAAGATTAGGTCTGACCCAGATCAGCAATTGCGAGTGGGGCGTAACGATTGATGAAGCTAGCTTCCATGACTAATCTTGGTAACTATTCCTGTTTCTAACACTTGCTTTCAACGAAGGTATGGCTTGGGAGAATTGTCATCGAGATTTTTATCCCTAAATCCCAGCCTGCCCTGTCGCATGGGATATTCTTCTAATCACTGGTCAAAACTTTTGTAACTACGCCATATTCGGTTTTCTTCTCCAAGGTTCTCGACGCAACTTTGCTCAAAATTTCTCTATTTCTGGTCGCTCAGGACCAAAATCTTTTTGCAAGGGTCCTCTCCTCTCCTCTGTCTTCAATCAATGAACAAAAAATCTATTGGACGGTGCCACTTTCTGGTTTACATTTCTCGTTTCATAGGTTTCATGTGGCGCCTGAAAAAGAAACAGACGAAAAAGAAAAGAGAAGAAGAAGGGAACACCGGCTTGGTGGCTACGTACGCAGACTGCGTCCGCTGCGTTGTTCCATTTTCTTGTTATGGCAAAGAACATTTGATGAATCTATGAATTCTTGTCACGATTCAACCATCTAATCTACACACACCAGCAATCTCACATGGCGTAGTATTACGATAATTTAACAAATGCTATATTTGTTGGCTCAGGGAATCAAAATTCTAAGAGACAATTGGTGCGACAAAGGAGTGGCGCCATGGGTGTGGAATGGGCTTTGCACATTTACGGTTTGAGAAACTCAGGTGTGACAAAGGTGCGGCATGGACAGGGCTTCTTTTGGTTATGATTTTTTATTAAATAGTCTCTTCACATATGCTCTTTCATTACTCTTTTTTTTTTTTATCTCAAGCATGGTTATCTAAAAATACTATGACAGAAATCAATATTTTCACTCGAAATGTGGGGTAGACAAAGAAAAGCTCACTACAAAATTCAAGAATTGGGGTTTTGGAGAAAATTCAACCTGCTAAATTCTTTGCTGTATTGGACTGCAAGGGACAAGCCACATGTTTTTACATTTTAACAAGGAGTGCAATTGAGTTGAGTCAACCTCTAGTAGTAGTCTGCTACTAGAGCATTTTTGTCAACTTATAAAAGTTGAATTCAAACTAGATGTTGATTTTACTTTACCTTACTCGAGTTAGATCAATTGAATTGAATCGAGTCTAATTGAATTTTAGTGGTATAAATTACTGTTTTATATAATTTCAAATGTGGGACACAATAGGCATTTCACACTAACAAGTATAACATTTTTTTTTTTTAAAAAAAATATGTATATGTGAAGCTCAATGAGCTCAGGTAACTGAAAGAAATACACACACCCACTTAATTAGAAGAAACACGGGAGTAACTCGAAAGAGTGACTCGAAGGCAATCTAAGGGGGACTCACAGACACACCCATCCAATCAGTTGGTGACAGGAAGGTGCTCCCATGGATCTTAAACCCAAAGTGAAGATCCCACGATCTTTCGATATGAGATGGGATCTCATCAAGCTATTCGAATTGCTTGAATTTGAGTTTTGACCAAGCAAGTTTGTGAATAGCTAATTACACTCTGACTCATTTGCACCACAGTTTTTTGACAAAAGAATGGCATAGGCGTCTTTTGGTCTGTGGGGCCTATTTGGCACCTCAATTTTTTGACAAGTTTTTCTTTTACGAGATTTTTAAAAACTTTAACTACAACCACAAGAAACTCCTAAAATTTTTAAAACACGTACCTTAAAATATTCAAAAATATACAACAAAAAAAATCTCCTCTTTTCTTTCTTCTTCTTCCTCTCACTTGAGCCCACCATTACCACACTATTGACTGTTCCTTTGTTTTTTTTTCTTTTAATTTCTTCCCTTTCACACACACACACACACTCTCTCTCTCTCTCTCTCTGAGGTTGTGAGAGAGAAAGGGTAGCAGGAACCAGGGAAGAAAAAGGAGAGAGAGAGAAGGTGGTGCTAGCGGAGGTGTCAGCCAGCGGGAAGTGGCTGCTAAGTGTGACTGGAGTGGTAGTGTTAAGGAGGAAAAAAAAGAGAGGAAAGAAAAGGAAAAGAAAAAAAAAAATTTCAATTTTTTCACAAAATTTTTTTTACAAGTTTTACAGTAATTTATAATAAAATTTTATACAAATATCTAAAAAACTTATTTCCAAGTGGGATTCTTTTAGAAACTAAGAGCCTTTTCTAGATACATAATAACATTTTCATATTTTTGCTTTTTAATCTTATAACATAGCGATATTTGTTAAAAACTTTTGAACAAATTACTTGAAAAAGCCACTAAACTTTTTAAATAGTAGAGTTTTGATTACTCAACTTTTAAAAGTATATATTTATTTATTAAATTATCAAAAAAGTTTTTGAGTCATTTCATCCATTTTCATAGTTAAATTTGCCAAATCCAAATCGCACACACGAGTCATAAGATGTAATAATGTCTGACAAGACTTAATGGTGAAAATAAATTAAAACAGATCTCCCATCCCAAAAGATAATCATTCGTTGTCTCCATCCAAGTAATTGTTTGAATTGGGCTTGGGTCTTCAAATTTAAATACCTAATAGGCTTGGTTTAATACTTAACATCCCACAAAACCAAACAAACGGCCCAAACAGAGGAAAGTACCCTGTGATCTGGAACAGCTGTATGATTTCTTGTCCTTGATAATTTGTGCAGGGAAACGAAATCATGATATCTCCAGTTTTCCTGTCCATCATGTGATCTGCAACAGCTGTATGATTTCTGCCGGATTTGGGATCTTGGAGACAATTTTATATCAGCACCCGACAGGTGATATACATTCGGATATTCAACACGGGAAACATGGAAAATAGGTAGCCAGTAGAAATTGGATTCACTATTTATGGCTCATATTCC